AGTTCTTCGACCAGCATTGTACGTCATGACTACTTGGTCACTCTCTCAAAGCCATCGGGCGGTCGTGACAGAAGCCATGCTGACGGAGCCAGATGACGACTCCAATAATGTGACCATTCAGAATTCTGGATCACCGCCTGTGTCAACGCGCACCACCTGGACCTTGTTGATCTACCTCACCTCGCCTGCCACGGGATGCATCGGCGGCGAGACCGTCTTCTACCCAGACCCGCCCAAGAAGAAGAGCCGAGACCCTCCACCTGAGCCTTTTGTCGTCGACCTCGAAGTCGGCCTCGCGCTGCTGCATCGACACGGCCCCGACTGCATGCTCCACGAAGGACGCGAGGTAACGAACGGAGAGAAATGGGTCATCAGAAGCGATCTATGTGTCAAGCGTTGAGTCCACATGGCTCTCCGGTACCGCGATTCGTGGTCGCTTCTTCTTTCTACATCCATGAACATCAACGTTCACTTTTGGAATCCGACGACCACCTATGCGTCGTCAAGCCATACTTACGAGGCTGCGTATATCCTGCCGAAGCCTGTCGCGTTGTGTACTGCAGCGTGTGGCTGTGTATCTTGCGTACCCAAGTGCAGATGCGATAAGGGTATCCTTCTTTCTCAGACTACGCTGCAGTCTTGCATCCCATGTCTTTAAAATGTAAGAGATTTGGATAACAGGTTAAGATGTCTCTTAGAGAGCACGACGGGTGCACGCACGTCGATGTGGCACAGCGTAAAAATGGTGTCGCTATCCCTAATTCTGTTGTACACCAGCGGTGTGCAGTCGACGAAAGCGGTGGTAAAAACTTACCGTGAAGTCGTACAAGCCATTACATGGCTACAGCTGTCATACCATGCGGTAGAAGTTTGATCGAAGTACAGCCATGGTTCCAGTTATCGTCTGGTTCGCTTTCCATATGTGGTATTCGCGACCTGGCATATTTCACACCCCCACAGTAGCTTACCGCACATTCCAATATTGCAGAACAACCTTTTTTCGTTTTCAGCCGCTTCATCGACCTTCTTGAGACAATCTCTTTTGTTTCCTGGCTCTTCAAGCTTTCGCTGCTCATAAGACGGCCCCTTAGCAACGCCTATACATCCTCTTTCTGTGTACTTCGACACAAAAGAACGAGCCGGCTCCTTTTAATCCATATCGACATCTTCGTCGCTACTGATACGCTCAGCAAGCTTCCATGGGGGACTCAAAATACGAATAGAGTGGCGACAGCGTATTCTATAGTACGAAAACCAACGTCGGCTGCAGTTGACAAAGTGCGAATGTTCATGCTCGATGTTTGGATTGGGTTTCAGGCTATCCTCGCTTGAGGCGGAAGACGAGATGGCCTCATACTCTTGGCGATTCATCGCCGGTTTCATCTCGGCGATCTAACGAAACAAGGATTAGCCTACGCATACGTCCGTCGAACACCTCGTTTCATCACCCTTGACTCACGCCTAAGACTTCCCATCGAGCTATCGCCGGCGTCTACAATGGGTGGCGAGGGCAGGCTCCGTCAGGCACGACAAGCTCAACGTTTCGATGTGGGCCGACATGTTTGACATGCGAGTACATCTGTACGGAGGCCGCTGCTGCCTTTGGCTCTCCAGCTGCGCTCACTGTCGTTTCTAATATCAAATTCCACGACTGACCTGGTGTCACTTACCTTATCGATCGACATGATGGAGTCACAACACCGTTACGCAGATGTACACTCACAGGACCATCACCATGATGACGACTCATCGACAGAGGTCGAATCCTTAGTTGGAGGAGAGAAGCAATGGGCAGCTGGCGACTATCACAGAAGAGCACCATCATCACGGAGGAACATATTGTGCCCACCGCTAGTGGCGGCGATGCGATGGGTGCTGGTGATAGGACTACAACTCGTAATCATCGGGCTCTTGGCTAGAGACCAAGGCTTGCTCGATTCCACAAGATGGAAGGCTCGATCAACAAGCGCAAATGATGTTGGCGGCGACATCACGGGGTGGTCACCACATAGTAAGACATGCCGTGCAGTCCATGCCGGTACATCGGCTAACCCAAATGCAGTTCCCACGCAAATCACCAAGTTCGAGATCAACCAGACATTCGCGCCATACAACACATCAGAGTTCTTCAAACCAGAAGTGCTTCGAGCATGGAACGAGCTATTGCCTGGTATGACTTCCCCAGGCTTCACTCTATCATGAACGCCTCACTAACGTCAAACGCAGTCGGCATGGGCTTCCAGAGCATCCCCGATCCAGAGAACTACCACGACCTTCCCACCCCCATCATCTGGCCCAACGCCACCGTATTCACAACATCAATGACTCACCAGCTTCACTGTCTCTACGCTGTCGTTGCCGTCTACTCCGGTATGACATCCGGCCACGAGCTCGAGGAAGACCACCACTGGCACATGATTCATTGCTTCGACTATATGCGCCAAGCTATCATGTGTAGCGCAGATATGGCTCTCGAGGGATTAGAGACGACGTTCCCTGATCACAACGGAGGCAGTGATGGCTGGGATAGCAAGCATGTCTGCAAGGACCCTAAGATGGTCAGGAAACGGCTGGAGAGTGTGAGGGCGTATGACGACCAAGAGATCTTTTGAACGGGTCGTACGTCAGCACATATCAATGGTGGTCTCATTATTGGAGGGTTGTTGAGTCGACGATGCATCACGATGATCAGCCGTTGGACATGGCCATTTGAACTTCATATATAATATATACTTCTTTTTACAGCCCGCCGGCATCCGAGTCTAACCGTGACAACTACCAATATCTCCAAAGGGTACCCGCGAACCCACCGAAGCGTACAAGTAGTTTCCGACTACGTCCGATCTACATCATGCTGGAAGAGAAAGAGCAGAAACACGTCAGAAGTTCCACGATGATGGCCAAATTGCAGATAGACCTGGAGGTATCCGCAACATTTCCAGCCTCCGGACGGATTACCACAACTGACCCTGGAGGTTCTCGATGCTTGCCCGAAGAGCCTGCGACTTTCCATACACCATTGGGGTACATCACGGTTACCTTTACACGATCACTTCACACTACACTACATTCATGTATCCAGTAAGTCAAGCAAATCAAAACTTTTTTCATTGGACTATTTCCTGCCGTTCTGTGAGCTGGCATCCTTTGAGACGGAGTGATAACCGGGATTTCTTACATGGAGCCACGCTCAGCCGTCACGTCGCCGAAGTCGTTAGTGGGCCATGCCCAGCCGAAAGTGGGTGCGGGTGCGGTCATAGGCTCCTACATTACGTTAGCTGTATTCTCTCTAAGACGCAGCAGGTAGGCCGGGAGGTCGTCAGTCCGTTCTGGAGGGATGTAGTAATGGCTACTGAGGTGTTGTAGTTATCCGGGCTTCTTTTCGGTCTTGGCTTTGCGGCTTTGGAAACTGAAGTATTCTCCAATTCCTTTTCGGGTTTGAAGCTCCATCACTTTAGTCTCTCCTTCGTTCCCTTCACAGTATTCTTGCTGTTGACATTGTGTAGTGTTCGGTGGTCTTCAAAGCGTATACCAGGGCCGGGAGTACTTTGCGGTGTTTCGAATCTGCGGAAGGCTATGTCGTAGGTACTCGAAGACCTCCGGGGCTATCGATGATCCGAGGTACTGTAGGTGCTTGCTAAGGGAGTGGCCTACAGTCTTTCTTCTTCTTCTCGGCCGCCAATGCCGCCGCCGCGGCCGCCGCGGCCTGCTTTCGCCGCTCTTCTTGCTACGATACCAGATCAGCATGTTGCGTAATCTCTATTGGTTCTGGCTGAAGCTTACCTCTGCTGCGACAGCAGCGTCCTTCTGCTCCGAAGAGCGTGGGTTGGCTACATTCATGTGTCAGCTATACTCTGGTAGCTAATATGTACTCTGGAGGCCTACTGGGTGCTGGCGCGGGCGGGATACGGTTAGGCATGTTCGCGTATATTTACGACTTACCTTCGAAAAGTCCCAAAAGTTTCAGTATATCCACCTTCTTCCCACCATAATGCGCTAAGACGCTCTCACCTTCACCTCTGCTTGGGGCCATTCTGACGAAATAGGTAGGACTCGCGCTCCCGCGACCTCACCTTCACCTTCACTTCAAAAGAGCTCCATCAGGTCTCAGCTGCGTACAGGAGCACGGCAATCGCAAACTTAGAAGACTAGACTGTCTCGGTATGCATCTTCAGTCCCTACAAGTAACAGTCACTGCGTCGCCCGTGTAGGCCCACACCTGTCTGCAAGTCCTCGCCAGCTCCAACGAAGGTACACCGAGATGGCGATTAGTAGCGAATTTGCTTCATGTCAGGATCTCAATAGCATAGCGTCGAAAGACTGAAACACGCCTAGCTCATTTCCTGTGCACCCGTGAATACACTCAATTGAGCTGCTTAGGTCAACATGATGACCACTACTCTCGGACTTTACGAATACGGCACAGCATAGCCAGCAACGAGCTATTCAGACTTTTCATAAGATGATAATAGCAGCGCTCTCTTCGCGCACGTCAAAACAATGACGTAGTCCACGTTCTCAAGTGAAGAATTGATCAGTGAATGCGGGTATTAACAAATTTGAGATTTCCAAACCAGAGTGCTCTCTTCACAGCGCTCTAATGTGACTGATCACCGACCGCAACTACTGTATCTTCGAATAGAGTTCTGTAAGGTTATTCAACATCGTGCAAGACGCAACGTGACACGGCATCTGTACTCAGTCTGTGTGCGGACATGAGAGGCACGCATAGCCTGTAATTGGAGGACTATCCCCAGTCATCGTTACAGATTGCTGACGTGTGTAGAATACATGACCGGATTTCATGTATATAAAGGTCAACGGCACGCGTTTGTAGGGTGAAGCTGCTTATGTCACATTCGCTAGGGCTACACACGGGAGTCATGTCTACTTCTCAAACCAACATTGCTATCATTCCACTCGCTCATCTTCCAAAGTCAACATCAAAGTGCGCCGCAGACTTGATTACAACACCCCTAGAGTCTATCACAACCCACACAATGAAGGCTTCTACCGCGGCGCCGAGTGATACGATGAACCCAACACCTGTCTCTTCTAAGCCCGTCGCTGCGATCATACCACCGCTTGATCCTCTTCATGACCTCATACCGGGGTACCCAATGCTCGCCGGTCGAATGGGAAACATGCCGGAGGTAGCTATGTTCCGAAGGTTCGGGGCTTTGAACGCTCGTAGCCTACTATACTATCAAGCTGAGCTTGCGCACCTCGAAGATGAACTACAACTACTCGAGGCTGAAGATGCGAAGAGTAAAGACGGCAAAAAAGAGAAGTATACGACCAACGCCTTCTGGCTCAACACGGCAGATTTCAGGCCGGATGGTGAGCTGCGGGACGGCGACAAGAGGCAACGCGACCTGATCGTCCATATGAGGCATATTCTGAGGGAGTATAGTAAGCACGTCCCTCGATCATGGAATAGTCTCAGCAAGGGACTGACGCAACCATAAGATGACGCTCTCATACAACAAGCAACGATACTTCGGGAAATGAAGAAACCAGATCCATTTGATCTCAATCACATCCAAAAGTTCATCGCGGCGGATTCAATGAACAATGATGTATTCGTTGGGCCGGATCACAACATATGGGGCTCAGCGGAAAAGCCCAAAGACCACAGCAGGGAGCTCGTAGTTCTTCGGGCACGCAAGGATACGGATTCATTCTCACGAGTTGCTGGCTCAAAAGCAATGGATTGGCTCCTGAAGCTCGGTGCTGACAAGTGGAAGAAGATTGACCCTCGATGGGGAACAGTGGCTCTCCACGACGACACCATTTTCAGGTTTACCTTTTGGGTTACTAGTGCCATTGCATCCGCACTGCCCGTCATATCGATCATTATTCTGGTGAATACGCAATCCTTGAACGGTCGACTAGCAATTATCGCAGCATTTAACGTTCTTACTTCGATATGTCTAACGTATTTCACGGACGCCCGGAGAACAGATGTGTTCGCTGTCACAGCAGCGTGAGTACATGAATAGAGCCAGGAGGATTTGTGTACTTTGGCTAATATCATGACAGCTTTTCTGCTGTCCAAGTCGTCTTCGTAGGTGCAGCATGGGAGAACGGTCCGAAAGAGGTTGTCTGGGCGCCGGGAAGTACGGTTCCACAATGTGTTTGCTCGCAGTAACTCATGGTGAAACGGATGCTTAGGTTGGCCTGGGAAGCCAGCTGGGACACAACGCATAGCCGTACTCTAGTCATACTGAACGTAAGCAGATACCGTATTAATGTGTCATTCAATAGCTGAACCCCGGGGGGCCTGCAGGCATATCAGACATACTAGCTGGGTACTTCGTCCCTTCTAATCAAACTAGAAATCCTTACTATGGCATATATTCCTGCTAATTACGATCAAGTCCCTATTAACGCTTCTTGAAAGCACAAAGCTATTAGCCGAATCCAACATCATTGAACTAAACTATACTTAATATGAATATGCCTTGTAGGGGAAGCATTGCTATTTTGATGGGCCGTGGCCCTGGCAGGCGAGTATTCTGGCGACAATACCACTCAGGCTTCTCACTGTATGCATAAAGAACTACGTTCTAGACTACAGTCATGTTTCTAATTCTTCTCCTTCTACTTCTTGACAGATCTTACCACTCTCATTAACCGCCTGTTATGCCAAGGAGACCAGGCGCCTTCCAATGGCATTCCAGGGCATGTTTCCAATGGTGTTGGTCTTTCAGAGGATGGGCATAACGTGCAGGCGGAGGCGGTATACTTCCCTGTAGCGTCCACAAGTGCTTCTCATGATCGTGATCACGCGTGTACTGATCAAGCAGAGCTTGACACGTTGAACAGTGCTTATCAGCATCATCGCGATCGCTAGAAGCATGAAAGAAGTTGCAGTCCAGACAAACCCAGCCAATGTATGGCCTCGGATAAAACGTCTCTTCGACATAAGATTCTAGGCCCTGACGCCCGGGAGTGATCAACACTACGTCCCTACAAGATGGACAAAGAATTCCGTCTGGTGCATGGGTATGTGGTGCATGAGTAGGTGATGCATGGGTATGTGGTGCATGAGTAGGTGATGCATGAGTAAGTGATGCATGAGTAGGTGTTGGATGGAAAGGTGATGCATGAGTAGGTGATGCATGAGTAGGTGGTGGATGGAAAGGTGATGCATGAGTAGGTGATGCATGAGTAGGTGGTGGATGGAAAGGTGATGCATGAGTAGGTGTTGGATGGAAAGGTGATGCATGAGTAGGTGTTGGATGGAAAGGTGATGCATGAGTAGGTGTTGGATAGAAAGGTGATGCATGAGTAGGTGTTG